CTTCCCCTACTCTGCTTTTTAAACCTTCCAATGTGTTTTTCATTTCGGATATGCCATTTTTTATCTCTTCTTGTTGGTTTTTAATTTCCATTTGGCTTATTTTCAGTGTCTCTATGTCCTTACTCATGCTGTTCAGCTTTCTCAAGATCATGGCTCTGAATTCTAGCTCTGTTAACATGCCTAATTGCTCCACATTGATCTCATCTTCGGTGGAGGTGTCTTGCTCTTTCATTTGGCTTCTGTTTCTGTGTTTCACCATTTTAGCTATCACTGTGGGCTTTGGAGCCTGTCAAGTTCTCCCTGTGGGTGTTGGTGTTCTGCTGTTTGTGGCTCCCTCTCCTGTGTTTAGATGAGCGAGGGAGGACCCGCGTTGAACACCACTGTCAAGTCTTACTTTCCTGGTTAAAGTTGCCAGCCCAGGAAACGTACTGTTATCCTCTAGCTTTTTGCCTGGAGGCTAGCAGTCTAGGTTAATTGATGAGTTTTGGGTTGTCAGTTGATTGAAAAACTCCCTCTGGTGCTCAGCCAACAGGCTTTCACGAGGGTGGGGCAGATGCTGGTTGTTAGTGAGCCTCAATTAACACTTCAATGGCCCACAGGGTGGGGTTGGATCTCCGAGGGAGGGGCTGCTGCCTCTCCTCAGAGCCCTGGGAAGGAGCAATGTGGCCCCCGTCCTGAGTGGCTGCACTCAGCCAAAGCTCTGAGCGCCCTCCAAACCCCGAGTGTCCCGACACAGTTCCAGTCCAGTCTGCCCTCCCTCCGCCGGAGCCCAAGGTGAGTGGCTGTGGCTGTTTCAGCCTCTGTCCCGGCTGCGCTGTGGCGCCGCCTGGGAGTGTGACCCGAGGGCGCCGCTCCCAGCTGAGGCCGCTGCCGAGCTGCCGACCGTGGGCTCCCAGCCCCGTCTCGCGCCTTCGCAAGCCTACCGGGATCGAGTCAGTGTCCCTCGTTGTATGGTCCTCCAAGCTGCTTTTCTGTTGGTTTTTCCCGTCGATTTGTCTGTGTTATAGTTGTAATTCCAGTTTGGTTCTGGGAGACGGTCTGTGTAGCTCCGTTTACTCTGCCGCCATTTTTCGGTCTTCCTGGCTGCTGCTTTAATTCCGTAGTTGTAGGACTTCCATTCAGCTTGATTTCAGGCGGTTTTGAATGATGGTTGTTCTGTAGTTTAGTTGTAACTTTGATGTGGTTGTGGGAGGACGATACCGCGTTTGTTTACCTACGCCGCCATCTTGACCAGAACTCCGGCATTCTTTTTCTTTTCTTCATAGTTCTCCTGAATTTTCTTTGATCATTTTTTAAAATCTCTTCCTCCTCAGGAGTCAGGTTAGCCTCCTTGTTGCCAAACTCAAATTTTGTATGTAGGGTTTCAGTCAAAATATAGCCAATTGATCAGAGTATTGCTATACATTATACAATTCGATTTCTTGTCTTTGACAGGTACCTTTCCCGAGACATTGGCAACTTTCTTGGCTTTGTTTTTTTAAATCAGAGGAGCTTATTTTAACTTTGACTTTTAAAGGAGGCTATTTGTTTTCAGAGTTTCAGAGATAAAACTAATGATTTTAGTGGTTGTGGAGTACACAGATGGGTACCACACAAATAATTATTTCATAGATTTTATTCATGTTTCTTGATTGGGATGAAAACCATATGATTTGTTTCTATGGGTTGAGGGTCACATGAAAACAACTTTTTTTTTTTACTAATATTAGTCTAAATTATAAAATCTTTATAAATGATTTAATGAATTAAAATAGTATTTGCCATAATTGACTATTTTTGAAAGGAAATTGCTATCAAAATCTAACAAAAACCTTAGACAATTTACCACCTTCAAAACTATTTTGATGGAAACATATTTTACAATTTCCATTAATATGTAATTGTAAAACCTCACTTCTCAAAAATATTAAAAATTCACTATATTTATGACATTATAAAATAATGTCAAAGATAGTGAGTGAAAGCTAGGAATTATAACCGTAGACTACAAGTTGACAATTTTCATTTCATAAGCTATAAATTTTTGTCTTAATAATGCTTAGATATGAAATACATTTTTACATGCCATTAGAAAGAATCACAGATGTTTGGAAGTCCATATTCATTAGCCTTCAACACAAATTTTACAAAACAGTACACTTCCTGGACAAAAGAATAGGTAAAAAGTATACAATCTAAGTGTCCATTAACTGGTAAATAGATTGTGCTACTCATACACTAGAATATTATATAGTTATAAAAATTAATAAACTATAGCTTCACTCATCTGCATGGATGAACTTGAAAGTTTTTCAGCAAAAGAAAGTGATGAAAGCATTCATACAGTATGATTCCATTTATATAAAATTTAAAAGGAGGCAAAACCATAAATACAAACAAGGGGATGATCAACAGACAATCTAGAATAGTAGTATCTCTGGGGGAGAGAAGTGAATGTAATCAAAGAGAAGCCACAGTGGGTATCAAAGTTATGAATAATGTTCTATTTTTAAAGAGAGGCAGTGAGTCCGTGGGTATTTCATCCTTAAACATTTACTTTGTACACATTCTGGAGAAAATGAAAGAAAAGAAAGACCTGTATGTAGACAATTTTTTCTGAAGAGGCTTGACCTTGATTGGAGTATAAAGAAATAAAAGAGTAGATTGGGGAAATTATGTGGATGTTTAGAGATTTTGTTTTGCTGTTATGCTTTTTAAGATAGGAAAAGAGGCCCACCCAGTCAGTGTGGCTCAGTGGTTGAGTGTCAACCCATGCACCAAGAGGTTGCTGGTTAGATTCCCGGTCAGGCCACATGCCCAGATTGTGGGCCCAATCCCCAGCGTGGGGCATGCAGGAGGCAGCCAGTCGATGTTCTCTCTCGTCAATGTTTCTCTCTCTCTCTCCCTCTCCCTTCCTCTCTCTAAAAATCAATAAAGAAAAAAAATTTTTTTAAATAGGAAAAGAGCATCTGAATGGTGTAGAAAAGTTCCATTAGAGGGGAGAAGTTGAAGAAATAAGAAAGGAGACAACTGATGAAACATGTTACTTGAGTACTCCAAGGGACATAGAGTCCAAGGTACACCTGAAGAGATCAACCTTTGAAAGGAGGTAAAATTCAACCTAATTTCAATCAAAGTGGAGTAGGAAATGAGAGGAACATATGCAGCAGATTTATACATTTGGTGATGGGAAACCAAGGTGTGTTTGATGACTTACTTGTTCCTTCTCTTGAATGAGGTAAGATTATTAGCTGAGAGGGAAGGATCATAGTTGGTTTTGAGAAAAAGTGGAAGTATATAAGAGAACAAACTGACCACAGATAAATGCAGGTGCTTTTTTGGACATTTCACCTTACCCATTTTCTTTGTCTCTGCCCAGAATGTATTTCCTCTTCCTTTTCTTCCAGAAAGTCTTCCCATCCTTTCAAGATTCACCTGTTCTTCAGTGTCTCTGAAACCTCTTCTATTCCATGGTAATGCTTTCCTTAAATCTTAAAACACTTGACTGTATCACTCAAGTTTCACTTACTCATGGACTGTCTTGCAACCATACTTTTGTGTTGTACATGATTTAATTTTTATGTATTGTCTCCTTAACTACAGTTCCTAAGGGCAGAAATTGTCTTTCATTAAACACTGTCCCTCCCTCTTTCAGAAAAAAGTGTATTCTCATACACACAGTGAACATCTGAATGTATTTTCTAAATATGTCATTTACTGAAATAAATATCCCTAAAAGCAAATGATAAAATATCTAAGAGTGAACTTTGAACCCTCTATTATTTTCTTATAAGTGCTCCTGGTTTTCAATTTTTGGTTTTAGAACTTACTTTTTTTTTTTTCTTATTGTTGACAGTATTACAGAAGTCCCCCATCCTCCCCTTTACCCCCTCCCCCGCCCCTACAACCAGCCCCTGCCTTTTTAGAAGTTCAGCTAGAGAGCCAAGGTTAACACATAATTGTTTGCATTTTAAATTTTTTTAAACAAATTGTTCATGCTCATGAAACTATTAATTTTTTTTTATAACTTTTAATATATTTTTTTTCATGGAGGCAGCTCTCCCGGAAAATGAGGTAAAATGTTATCAGCAAAGACAAATTACGTTAGGAATGCCATCTTGCAGTTGAGAATAGTCCATTACACTAACAGGTCCTTTCAGTGACAATCTTTAATTCAGAAATAAAACGTCCAGCAAATTCACAAATGTATGGTTAAAATGTATTTTTACTACAAAGAAATAAAAATTAAATAAGTGCATCAATTGTGTGTGGTTTTAGTTATAAAAAAAAAAAAGACAATGCTCATTGAAAAGAGAGACAACAGGTTACAGAAAGGACACCAAATAATACAGGGAAACTGATACCTATAACTATCAACATACTTCTACTAAAACTATTAAAATACAGGGAAGTTCCAAAAAATTTTCTCTTGAAATAGGTAATTTTATTTCTGAATCTACTACTAAATAGTTCTGTTTATTATTTCCTGGATTTAAATCACGTGTTTTGATTTTCAAACTACATCACTCTAACTATAGACGTCCAAAGGAAAGTGAGGGACAGAACACTTATCTAATCTGGATGGTGTAGCATACACATAATTCTAAGTAGAGTTAAAAACACTGGCTCTATCTTAGCAGATAAACTTACTACTTCCTCCATACCAAGTTAGCCATTTGAACGGCAAATTATCTTTGTCATCAACAGAAAACTAGTATTGGCTACATATGTTGTAGTTAACAATGGTGCTTAAATATTTTAATTGCCAAATTGAATACCAGACATTCTGGTCTACCTACAAGTGGGGGTAAGGAAGTAGAAACCGATGTATCCCTCATGAGTAAAAAGTACAGCACAACAGCACAAGGGTCCATGCACTATGCTATCTTTTTGTCGCTTCTAGATTAAGGGCCCAAGGAGCATGTGCAGGTACAAAGTCCAGTCCTAGAGATTAGGCTATTGAAATTCCAAAAAATAATATAGACATAGATATTTAAATTATAAAAAATGCTATTTTACTCCAAATCAACTTTTGTGATTTATTATTGTATCCTTATTGCCAGAAAAAAAAAAAATTTTACTCAGAAAACTTGATTTTGTATTAGTTTTTCCACATGACTCTTCAGGACATTCACATCAGCTGCACAGACCTGATAGTCCATCTTCTCTTGCTGTTTTGTTTTTCCCAATAAAGCCTCATGTGGTGGAGGTAATGCATTATATGAACTCAATAAAGCAAGCTGACTTGATGAAGTTTGGTTGATTTCTTGAATCTTTAAAGCCTGCATGATAGCAGGTGCAAATTTCGAGTAATGAGCTGTAGATGAGACAATCACTGGGCAAGTTTTGTCTTGCATTCTGTCTGCAACCACCTTTGCAACAGCAGTGTGTGGATCCAAAATGTACCCTGAAGTATTGTAGGTAGAGTGAATAGCTGCCAGGCACTCTCCCTCAGAGCACCAGTCGGCTGCAAAATCCTGCTGAAGTTTCTCAACTAGAATATTTTCTATCTGAAAGTGATGCTGCTCTTCTAATTGATTAAATAATTTTGTCATTAACTGCCCATCTTTATTAGCCATCAAATGTAAATGTCGTTCCAGGTTTGAACATTTAAGAATATCTATTGCTGGAGAAAAGGTTCGTGTTAATTTTCTTTCCCTTAGATCATAGTGTCCTGTTTTTATAAAATCAGTCAAAACGTGGTTCTGATTAGAGGCACAAATAAATTTTCGAATAGGGATTCCCATCATTTTGGCATACACTGCAGCTAAAATGTTACCAAAGTTTCCTGTGGGAATACATACATCTACTGGGCTTCCAAAGGAAATAAATCCTTGGCTAACGAGATCAAGATATGCAGAAGCATGATAAACTACTTGGGGAAGCAGTCGGCCCCAGTTTATGGAATTAGCTGAACTTAAGACTGTTCCATATTCCACAGTGAGAAAGCCAGTGAAATCAGAATCTTTAAAAATGCTTTTTATAGCTGTCTGGCAAAAATCAAAATCTGACTTGACACCCACTGCCCATCCATTTTCTTTCTGACTGCCAACTATTTGTGCTTTTTGAAAATCACTTACTCCGTTCTCAGGAAAAAATGTGGCCACAGCTATTCTTTGTTTGTCATTCTTATTAAGATGACTAAAACCATTTAAAACAGCACTCCCTGTGTCTCCTGAAGTTGCTACAAGTATCATATAATTACAACTTGGTGGAATACAGTGTGCAAAAAGATGAGGCATAAGTTGTAAAGACAAATCTTTAAATGATCCTGTTGGTCCATAAAACAGCTCCAGGATGAACTGGTTTCCTGAAAGGTGCCTGACAGGGGCAATTTTTGAGCAGGCAAAGTTTTCCCCATAAGCAGTTTCAATCATTTCTCCCAATCTGGCAGCAGGTATGTCAGCAGGATGTATACACTTTTCCAAGAGTATTTGTGCTCTTTCTACGTAGGTTGCTCCTACTAGGCTTTTCCACTCCCCACAGTTTAATTTGGGAAATTCCTTCTCAGGAACAAAGAGTCCACCATCAGAAGCTAACCCCTCAATCACAGCTTCGCTAAAGAATTTTGTTGAAACCTTCTGTTCACAGTCTTTAGGCCAATAGTGTCTTGTTGAAATGAATGTTTCTGAGTCCACATCTTGGTATCTTTTAACTGCTTTGAGAACTTTGTCAGCTATGTCCTCTGGGGAAGCCCCACTTTCACAAAAAACACGGGTATCGTACCACTTCTTATAATACTGTCTTCTAAATTTAATTAAGTCTTTCATAGATGTTCCAGGATTATGTCCTACAATCCTATCTGTTTTCATTAATTTTAGACGACTAACTATATCTGTTAGAGGTACATCCAGGTATACAATTATTCCATTTTTCTTCAGATGCTGCATGCTAGCATCATGCATTGGATTAGACCCAGTAAGGGAAATCACACTTCCAGATGCAGAGAAGTTTAACACAGCTTTTCCTTCCTCTTCTAAAAATTGTTCATTACCAACATCCTGTAATTTTTCAGACACACTCATATTCCAGGTTTTTTCAAGGATATCATCATCCACATCTATGACACAACAACCTAGTTTCAGCCCTATTATTCTGCCTACTGTTGTTTTCCCAGCTCCAGGCGGTCCCATCAGGATAATATTTTTGTCTCCAACAAGAGAGTGGGTTGAGTGACATGACTTCCTTAATTCTGCAAGTGCAAAGGTTCTCAAAAAAAATAGCCGTGCATGTTTATCCGTTTTAACATGTATAATAGAAAAACATTTCTGGGTTATTTGTTTCAGAAGCTGACATCGGTTAAAGTGGAGCATTCTCTTTTCACTTTTCTGCCCAAGCCAACCTAAAAACTGGTTTTAGCCATTTTCAAAACAAAAACAAAAACAAAAAAAGACATTTGGTTACTAATTTCAACAGAATTAAAATCCTGACAGGAATGAATATAACCATGCCCACAGTACATAAACTATTTCAAAATCTTCCAGTTTATGGGATATTTTAAACAGTATTTGAATCCAAATTCTCATATATTATTTTTAAAAATCTTTTCAAATCTCAAAACACTAAGTAATCAAAACTTTAATAATTTGTAACAATTAAGAAACAAAACTTTATTCAGAAAATGCCATTAGCATAGATGCTTTTTTAAAGTATATACTAACTCAAATTAGTATTTCTTTTCCTGTAATAAAGATTGTTTTATAGTTTATAACCCATATAATAAGAGTTATTTGAAGTTGGAATGCTATTTGCTTACAATTCACAAAAGCTGATTAATACTCTATATTTAATTTCTCTTCAGTTATATGAACATGTTGATAGACTATCATGTTACTCATAAATGTCTTAGATATAGTATTCAGAAGAAAAGAAACCAGAATGAAATATTTGCTTATAAAATGCTTAAATAACTTTCCAAACTATAGGGCAAAGATATGATGTTTTCTTTCTATGTGCTTTTTCTATGCATACTGTTAAGAATCATTCTTACATATTTTTCATATTAAAGACCTTAAAAAAAACTAAAATGAAAGGTATAATATTATGCAAATAGTTAAAGTGATGCTCAGTAGCAAGGTCAAAGGCTACATATCTGTAATCTTTTCTGCATAGGACCATCACTTTGGTCTCTGTCCCAAAAACATCAGTAGAGAGCCTTAATTCAAATTCTAGACTCCAGAGTGATAGCAAAAAAACTCAAGAATGTTACCAATGACAAGAGGAAAAAATTATTCTGGAATCCAAGGCAGTTCTGCAATTCCCCATACTGGTCAAATCCCTGTTTTGGAAATATACTCAACATTAAAACACAAATGTATGCCATACAAGTCAAAATTTTAGTCACGTGTAAAATGCAAGTTAATAACTTCTGCCATGTTCATTTAAATTGACTAAGGTAACTTCACTGCCACACAGTGGGGCTTTTCACATGTTCTGTGGTAGACCCAAAACACAACTAAGCCATATTAAATGTTAGATGGTACAGCCTGGCCGATGTGGCTCAGTGGCTGAGCGTCAATCCATGCACCAAGAGGTAGCCAGTTAGATCCCTGGTCAGGGCACATGCCCAGGTTGTGGGCCCAATCCCCAGTGGGGGGGGGCATGCAGGAGGCGGCCAATCGATGTTCTCTCTCATTGCTGTTTCTCTCTCTCTCTCTCTCCTTCTCTCTTCCTCTCTCTCTAAAAGCATTAAGATAAAATAAATAAATAAATGTTAGATGGTACATTTAAATATGTTCTGAAAACTTTCAATCATTTATTACTCTGATTATCAATTCTACTTAAATTTTGTTCTGTAATTAACCATTTAAACCATTTTAAGCTAACACTGAACTTACAAATTAAATTGCAACTGTCAAGAGAAGAAATATATTTCCCTATTTGGCTTTTCAACTTGTATGTGTTGTGTTTAACTCCCAATGACTTGTAAACATCTGATACACACGTACCGATAGTAGATGAAGAGTTTGTTGATGCAGAGCCAAAGTCAATCTTTGCAAAAAAGCAGAGTCTATAATGGAAAAAATTCCAAGTTAATCATAGCTGCATAGAGTTTCACAAAATTCCACACATAGACTAATCTATTATTAAAATGTCCATCTGAAATATTTAAAGTGCAGAAAAATAACGAATTGACCCTTTTCATATTTCACCAGGTCTGTTATTAAAAGATGAAGATACTGCTTTTTTCAACATGTGTGTCTTATCATAGAAAAGAATTTTACTAAATAGTACTGAAGAAATTTCTGCTATAAAGCAATATAAAAGACAATATAACCAAATAATACAATATATAAAAGCTTTCACAATGACACCTAAAATTTTAAGGATTTAACTGTATGTTTAGTCATCAGAGGAAAATAAACTAGTGGACTAAAGCTATGAAAGGAGTGTCTGAATTACTCTTTTAGGGTTGTTTTCTCCATCTGAATCACATGATTTGTATGTAATAATACATACTGTAAAAAGCGCAAATTAAGTATCTACTACACAAAGGTACCTCTTAGCTTTTTTTTTTTTATCCTCACCCGAGGACATTTTTCGATATTTTGTTCAGATAGAGTGGGAAGGAGGGAGAGAGAGAGAGAGAGAAACATCGACGTGAAAGGGACACATCGAGCGGTTGCCACCCACACGACCCAACCAGGGCCAGGGACAAACTGCAACCGAGGTACGTGCCCTTAGCGGGAACCGAACCCGGGTCTCTCCAGACCGCAGGCCAATGCTCTAACGGCTGAGCCAAACCGGCCAGGGCCTCTTAGCTATTTAAATGAGTTTAAAAATTCAAAGCATGTATCATAGTGGCTGGCTCATAAGAAGATTCATATATATAGTAATATTAATCATTGTCACTAAAAACATATAAACTGGATCAGAATATCTAGGCACAAAGCTAGGCATATTTTTCAATGGTTTGGTTTATTCATAAGCCTTCAGAGAAAACAGTAGTACTAATTTGTAAATCAACTGTTTTGACATATACAGTTTAATTTTTTCCCTGGAGTAAACCAAGGACCAGAGAACTGTATGCTTGAGCCATTATCAGCAATTTCTTTTATTAAACTGTATTCTGATACTATACACTAGCTAATTTTGAGGGACTTTATATAAAACAGCCTGGTTAACCTCCTATTCAGCACACTTTTGCTTATGTAACCAGTGTCTTCTTTTTTTAGTTCCCAATGCATAATTTCTGATGTCTGTATCAGTAATAATTGCATATTACCCAAGTAGCTGGTTTGTTTTTATGGACACTAAGTCTTTTTTTGTGTTTTAATCCTCATCCAAGGATATGTTATTTTTTAAATTGATTTTTAGAGTGTGAGAAAAAAATAAAGAGAAACAGTGATGTGAGAGAGGAATATCAATTGGTTGCCTCCTGTACATGCCTGACTGAGATTGAACCTGCAAACTTTTGGTATATGGGTCGATGCTCCAACCAACTGAGCCACCCGGCCAGGGCTGGACACAGTCTTTTAACTGACCTTTTCTTCCACTTTATGTTGGTTTTGTCAACTCCATTAAAAGTAGAAGACTATATAACATAAACGTGCATGTTAACTTCACCTTATCTTTTGTAACCTTACTTTTCTTTGTTTTACATGAATTTAAAATAGGAAATTATGGCCCAGCCATAATCAGTGGATTGAATGTCATCTCATGGACTGAGAGTTGTCCCATGGACTGAGAGGTCCCGGTTCGATTCCCAGTCAGGGGACATGCCTGGGTCGCAGGCTCGATTCCCAGTAGGGGCTGTGTAGGAAGCAACCAACTGATGTATCTCTCTCACACTGATGTTTCTCTCTCTCTCTCCCTCCCTCTCTCTCTAAAAAATCAATAAAAAACATATTTTTAAAAATAAAATAGGAGATTATGGCCCTGGCCAAGTGGCTCAGTGGGTTGGAGCATCGTCTCTTACACCAAAAGGTGGTGGGTTCAATTCCCAGTCAGGGTACATACCTACGTTGTGGGTTCAATCCCCAGACGGGGCGTGAATGAGAGACAACTGACTAATGTTTTTCTCTCACATAGATGTCTCTCTCTCTCTCTCTCTCTCTCTCTCCCCCCCGTTCCTCTCTCTCTAAAGATCAATAGAAAAGCATATCTTTTGGTGAGTATTAGAGAAAAGAAAATCATGACAATTTTATTTATTAATTCTGTATCAATATTATCTCACCATAAAAATCTTCCCGACTCTACAAAAATGAAGTTATATGTTATAACATGTAACAGATAGTACCACTTTAAAAGAAAAATAAAAAAAGATGAATTCTATTTTAAGCTACATATAAAATTTGTTTTGTAACATTTAGCCACAAACTAATTTCAGGGCTTCAAGATCCATTGTAAGGAAACCAAATGACAAGAGAAGATGAAACAATGTCCACGATGTGCAACTTTTATCTGGAAACGGAATTTTACTTAAGTAATGCAGTCAATTCTTGTTATTCCTGGTAGTTGTATTCTATAAAATCACCATGAATACTGAATTAGTGAATAATGAACCACTGTTCCTAGGGAAATACAGGGTCCCTGTGGGCCTCTGGTCACCACATTTTTGCCAACGGATTAATACATAACCTTGTTTTATGTGTGTTTCTGTTTAAAGACATCTTATTTAACATATAAAGTTGATTCATTACCAATGAACTCACAGCCAACAGCACTCTTGACTCATGCCTGAATGAAGCTAATCTAACACATTTTCTCTATAAGGCTCATGATAGCACTACTGCCTCGTGAACACTAGGCAGCGCTTCAGCACTCTGCTTGGGGGCCATTTTAAACAGCAAAACCACCAACTAGAAGCACAAAAATGTGAAAAATGTGGCACTAAATAGAACATGAAAAGGATACTTGTCTACACTATAAGAGTTGAAACAAGAAGGCAAAGCATCACTTTGTTGGACCTCAGCATGGAGCATCTCAAATTTTCACCACTGTGTATAAGTCCGTGAATGACTGCAAAAGTGCTGCATGTATTAATTTGGGGTTATAAATAAATTGTAGCCAGAATTCACAAATATGTAACCTGTGAAAAGAGAGGATCAACTGTATGTCATTTTTCTTTATGATTCAAAGCCATGTTATTAGACTGTTTTTGTTTATTTATATGTTAGCATGTTTTCAGTATAATGGACATGAACAGGCAATTTTTCCTTAGCCAAAGGACAAAACTATTTCAAATTAAATAAAGGCAATCACATAGGAATCAGAAAGCAAAAACAGTACTTAAGAGCAAATCTCTTGGCCATTATAAAATTACCTAGTTTCCAATTTCTCTGTGAAATTGTCAAAATCCTACTTAATCAAAATGATTCAGCATATTTCATCCACTTAAAATATGTATTATTATATACTCAAAATAATGTAAGACGCAGCACCTCAAAAATTATTTTCTAATGATAACTGCAATCTCTCTAAATTTATCAGATAGCCCTGGCCGGTTTAGCTCAGCGGTTAGAGCATCTGCCTGCAGTCCAGAGACCCGGGTTCAGTTCCCGCTAAGGGCATGTACCTCAGTTGCAGTTTGTCCCTGGCCCTGGTTGGGTCATGAGGGTGGCAACCACTCCATGTGTCCCTTTCACATCAATGTTTCTCTCTCTCTCTCTCCCTCCCTCTCTCTCCCTCCCACTCTATCTGAACAAAAAACAAAAAGATGTCTCTCCCTCATACTCTATCTGAACAAAAAACAAAAAGATGTCCTCGGGTGAGGATAAAAAAATTATCGGATGAATGACTCAACCTAGTCTACTATCTTAGGAAGATATTGAGATTTTTAAAAATTCTTAAAAGTTACAGCATTTTTACAGCATTAAATTGTTTTCCAACTAATAAGAACAAATGAAAATATACTAGGACATAAACTAATGGGGCTGGGGGTAGGGGTAAAGCTGTGCTGTTTCTGACTACTGAGCAAACATCCTCTCAAGAAGCCCCCAGATCCACAGATAATGTGAGGTGGAGAGGGTACAAAGACCACACACTCCAATGCCATGTTGTGGTCATGGTCATGGGGATCTTACAAGTTCACCACTCACCCTTGCCTTTATCTTAGTATTGAAGCTGACTAAGCATTTCCTTTTGTTCCCTTTTGCTGTTAGATACCCTCTTAATGGTCTTGAGTATTTAATTCAAGACTTTTTTAAGGACACTTCATTTTATAACTTAGAAAAATTTTACAAGTATGTCTATCTTTATAAAGGGTTATTTTCCTCCCAATTATCTTATTTGTATTCCCAGCTACACCCATTTTATTCAGCTAAGTAGATTAAAATTATCTTTAGCAAAAACAAAAACAAAACAAAAAAAAACCCACCTACTTTGTATATACAACCATTTATATCAGGGGTCTGTGCCAACTACAAAGCACAAGCCAAATCTGGCCCACCACACATCTGTAATTTTAAATTAAGTTTCACAAGACCAGAACTTTGTTTTGATTTGTTCATTTGCTTAGTACTGTCTTTGGCTGCTGATGAGTAGAGTTGAGTAGGTGCAACAGAAACCATCTGGCCTGCAAAGGCCTATTTACTGTCTAGCCCTTTACAGAAAAAGTAATGACCTCTGATGGTATATCACACTAATTTCCTGTGGACATATTGGACATAGGCATTTCCTTGAACTGTTTTTGCCATTTTGAGGGAATTATAGAAATTAGAAATATACTTTTCGTAAACATACTTTCCAAAAACCAGCAGAATCACAGACCAAGCATCTAAGAAGAAAAAGTTCCTTTCCAAATGATTTCACAACTTCCGTTAACTATAAATTAAATATACTATAGTGAAATCTTAAATTCTGTTTAGTAATCTTAAAACCACAATAAATAGACTGACATCAGTGAAAACACTGTTTTCAGGAACACCAGGAAGTCAACAGCTAAGGCCAGTTGGTGCTTACTAACTGGAGAAATGATTTTCTTTGCCCTTATTGGCTCCTAAAGGAACTGATTAACATAAACCGTCCCCAAGTGTTCCTTCTAATTTGAAAAGTTTTAAGCTTTGGCCAATGACTACCCATTTGGCTGATGGTATTATTATTTTGAGTCCTTAACTCAAATCTTAACCTGTAGAGAAAATATTTTTCTCTCTGCACGCTAAGCAAAACCAAAAACTGCTCAAAGGGGAAACAAAAAGGGCAAAGTAGTATATACACGTTTTTGAAAAACAGAAAATGTGATGTGAAAAATAAAAGAATCATCCCCAAGGTATCACTGACCTGAAATGAAATATTTTTAAACGCCTGGGATAAAAATGAACCTCTCAGCAACTGGCTAAGAAAAACTAAATGTATACTCATCTAACGTAACTCACTACGACCCCCACACGGTAAGGATCTGCATACGCCTGGGGCACAGCCTTTGCTCAGGAACCGAAGAACTACCCCAGGCACCGCGGTTCCAGCCCCCGCACCGAGCGGCCCGGCGGCGGGGCGGCCGAGACAGGTGTCCCCTCCCACCTCCCGGCTCCCGGACTCCGGGCAGAGCGGCCACCGGGGGGCTGCTTCAGGCCACCTTCCGTCCTTCCCCAATCACACTGCCGAGATGTCTTTCAGAGCCTGGGATGGCAGGTGCTTTTAGGTGAGCGTCTCTCGGCTGTCACACGTGCTGAAGTTATGGAAGGCCACACAGGATGAGGACGGAATAAAACCGCTCTCACAAAGGCACTTTTCAAAAAGGGACACCAAAAAATATTGGGCAAGAATTGAAGGGCCATATGAAAGGCTTCCTCTGGGGTAGCACCAAGTCCACACACCTGTGGAGAAAGACCTCCGAGGAGGCCCGAGCCAGAGGGAAGCGGGCCGGAAAGCGGAGCCGGCGAGCCCCGGGAGGGGGGCGCAGGCGCGACAGGTGGACGGCGAGGGGGCGGCGCGCAGCGGGCCCGCAGTCCCGGGAGGAAGCGGCCGAGAAAGGAGCCGAGACGACCGCCGAGGAGCAGAAAGGGGAGGCTCGGAGAGGGGAAAAGGCATGCGATGGGTCGGACTAGTGTCCAGGGTCTCCTCTTTCTCCTCAAATAACTCACCAAGAAAATCACACTGAGAAGACGGGGGAAAGAGAAAGAAATGGGAGGGAGTGTCCAGGAGCCGCGGGCGTCGCCTTGGGATGGAACCCCACACCCCAGGCGCTCAACCCCCCTTGACCGCGGGCCCGAGCGCTCGTCAGGACCGCCCCCGCGCTGCGGCCCCTGCGCCTGCGCCCCTGCAGCCCTGCGCATCCGCGCGCCACACCCGCGCCCCGAGCAGCCGGGCATCTGGCACGTGACCCTCGATGGCGCTCCACCTACGAGCCCTCCCGGCTTCCCCGGCCCCTCCCCTACCTAGTCCCGCTCTCGACGTTAGCGGCGCGTGAGCGTGGACTCAGCCGCTCGCCCCGCCCTTGCCGGTATTGAGACCTGCGCACAAGAGCGTTATTGTGTGAGCCGTAGTACACTTGCGTCTGAGTATTTTTCTCCGAATATACAGAGACCAAAACGATAGCCTTTTTAAGGGGACGCTATTTTTTCACCTCATTACCCAAAGGCACATGTAAACAGTGGTCTCCGTATTGAACTTTCCGGTCAGAAGAATGAACAGCGGTGACGGAAGAGAGGGGACCTAGTCTGCAGTGTTGCCGCCCACTTCCCCGTCGCCTAGTAACTGTTTCCACGGCAAGCGCGCGGTCAGCGATGCTAAGCAATCGCTGGAGGGACAGAAAGGGTATCTTCTTCTCAGACAGGACCGCTGAAGAGGGCACAGGGGAGGGGGAACCTTAGTGCCTTGAGAAGGCAGGAGAGTGGGAACGGAAAGGGGAAGCAGTGAAGAAAGGGTCGGAGATATTGGTAATTTGAGAAAAATAGTTGAGTAGTTTTGAGAAGTCACTGGGTGGCCATGGATCCAACATGCTCTTCTGAGAGCGTTTATAACCTCATACCCCGGGACTGGAAGGAGCCTCCCCAGCCTCCTAGGTATGTGGCGGTGCAAGATGATCGCTTGAAACAAGAATGGGGATAATTATTCTATTTCAGCATCAACACAGCATCATAGGACTTTTAAAAAGAAATAAAAAAATATTTTTGTCTGGAAGTAGAGTTGGATATAACTTGTTGAAGAGAAGTTTGCAAAATTCTAGGTGTTTAGCGTCTCAAAAATTCAGAGAGGGCGATTCAGTGCTATTAGAGGGCAAATTGTATATGTTAGTCTCCTGTAATATGGTATGTAATTGTTTTATAATTCATCTGATTGTTCGCACATGTGGTATATAACAGAGGGAAATTTCTGGTTGAAAAAAGAAAATCACAATTTTATTTTCCTGTGTTAGGATACTTGATATTTGGTTTCAGGAGTTCGTTATTTTATTTCTAACTGCTGTTTTTCTAAGGGACTAGTACTTATTTTTTTACCAAGATTATTGTCAAATATAAATTTGTTTGTTTCTGAGCCTCAATGTTTTGATCAGTGAAACAAAATAAACTAGATAGTTCCTAAGGTCTCTTACAGGTCTCCTAGATGGAGGGAAGAGTGGATGGACAGAGAACCAAAAATATGTAATTGAGTTAAAAATTTTATGTAGGTTATAGGACCTCTTAAATTCCCCAGTTTCACAAAGGTCATCACAAAGGAAACATCCATTTTGTCTCCTGTGTAGGAACTTAGAACTATTTTAGTCTATGGGGAGAAAAGAAGGTAAGTAGTGGAGAAAATCTCTTTCTCCGAGGACTTTTCTGCCTTTTACCTTTCTCCTTTTCCTTATTCAAGTCAAAACCACATCGAAAGAGCTAGGTTTCCCTAGCTAGGGCTAGGGGAAAAAAGAAAACAGGGACTGCAACTAATTGTTTTCGGGATCATGAATAAATTTTCATTTGTTTTCTGACCTGTAAAACTAATTTTTTTTTCCAAATTCTCACTCAAAGATACTTTTTTTACCATTTTTAATCTTCAGATAGAGTGGGAGAGAGGGAGAGGGAGAGAGAAACGCATCGATTGGTTGCCTCCTGCACAACCCCAACCGTGGCCCAGGCCGAACCACAACCGAGGCACGTGGCCTTGACTGGAATCAAACCTGAGGGCCATCACTCCACCCCTGAGCCAAACCAGCCAGGGCTGTAAAACTAATATTTGCAGTCCCTTTGAGATCTAATGGTCAATTATTTTTGCTAATAATTAACTTGGGGTGCATAACTTCTTCAACAAGTGGGCACATGCTTCCATTTTAAGCCTGAGCATCTTTGTTTTAACCAGGGCAGTACCTACATTGTTTTCCATTAGCTTCTCAAAACCTAGTAGAAACTGGAAAGGGGAATGTAAAGTAAGAAGTTATGACACAGTGGCACAGTTTACTTTTATATATATATATATATATATATATGCATATTTCTTTTTCTTTATTGATTTGAGAGAGAGAGAGGAAGAGGGAGAGAGAGAGAAACATTGATGAGAGAGAACATCGATTGGCCACATCCTGCATGCCCCCCACTGGGGATTGGGCCCACAACCTGGACATATGCCCTGACCAGGAATCGAACCCGTGACCACTTGGTGCATGGGTTGACACTCAACCACTGAGCCACACCGGCTGGGTGGCACAGTTTACTTTTATGAGGAGTGTGCAAATTAACTAATGCTGAACAGACTTTTAGTCCAAATTCCTGCATATTGTACAAGATAAAGTTCTTCTCTGTGACCCACTGGTATTTTCTATAGAGTACTGAATTTGAATGGTAAGATATTTTATTAGATAGATGGTCTGTTCATTGGTAAAGGGAAAACCTTTACTATGCATTTACATGATTTTTTTTCAAGAAATTTTATAGGAACAATCTTAATTCATTTGGTAAGCATTACCTTGAGCCTCCATTTTGTGTATGATATTAATCTTGGAGTGAGGGCACAAACTCCTTGGTTTTCTCTGAAGCAATGTGTAGGAAAAAACTTAAGAGAACAGAAGGCATTCAAATGTGGTGCCATAGAGCACTCTCTGTTAGTAAGTCAGCCTCCACTGTCAGCAACAACCATGAGGAGTTTTTAATTTGATGTCATACCTGAAAACCACTAATTCATAAAAACAGAACATAACTAAACATTTAACTAATTTTTTCTCACAATACTAACACAAACTTGTGACTCAATCCCCTTACCGATACTAAAATTTAATCATAAGAAATGTATTAAGCTACAAGGCTTTATTGTATCACTGAATTATTAACCCAGCTTCAAGAAATCTCACTGAAGCTGTTTGCAAGACTGGCAAGATTATCCAGCTTTCATAAAGAATTGGATTCCTTGGAGAAATAAAAAATTTACTGTTCTGTCATCTTTCATACATCAGAGATTAGTTTCATTGAAAAATAAAAATATAAACATTAAAATATTGATTAAAAATAAAACCATATATTATTAAAAACCCTAATGAGAGATGCAGATACTAAATGAGATAGACATGTTACCAAATAGATATATGTAACCAAAGTGGGAGGAAGGGCAACCTTTTGCAGTTGAATTGTAAGCTGAGACTTAAGATATAAAAGTGTTAAAGTCAATCAGAAACCATGAATCAGTTTTTAAAATTTCAGTTGCTCATGATGCATGAGATGATTTTCAAGATCTTCATCAAATTTGTGACCCTTCTATTGATAACTCAGTTACTTAATATCTCCAATTGTTCTCTCTTTCTCTTTTGTTGAAAGTAATCTTCTAGATATGGTCTGAGTACACAGAACTATGATCTACTTCCCTTGATACCCAATACTTTTACATTTGACAGTCATGTCTCACATTGAAATTCCCACCTGAATTATAACTAAGTTTGTTCCCTCCCATCCTATAATTGTGTAGCTGATCCTTTTTTATCTAAACTCATCATTAATCCATGGAGATAGTTTTGAATTTTGAATCTTTCATATACTCTCTTAAGCATCCCCCAACTTTATGTCATTTGCAGATCTAATGTCTTTTATATCTCCATCAGTCATTGAACTGGGCAAGTACTTTAATAGTCTACTAGATATTTCTTACTAGACTGACAGCAATAGTGTTTTGAAGGATTTAGTCAGTCATCCAAATGCATCCATTAATCAGTCTATATTTATCTACCTTATCAGTAAGGATTTAATAAAAGACTTTACTAATATCAAGATGTATATTACTGTGTCTAAGGTATTTTTCTGATTTATGAGTCCAATGATTTTTCTTTTTTAATGATCTTCATTTCAGTGACCTGAAACTCCAAATGGTTCATGCAATCATTGCTGCTCTACAGATTTTTAGAAGCTCTTTGAAATTGACATCAGGCTCGCCAGTGTGGTGTTTCTGTATGCATGCTTTTTGAAATGGGAATATTTAATGTCATAAGCATCCAGTAGTTGTTTCTTTTTTTATGCCTTTCTGGTTTTCATTGGGATAATTGTGACATGTAGTCAGAATTTCATTTTCGGAGCTTCTCATTCTTCTTGGACTACATCCCATTTTATTCAATTTTCATACTGTTATATCTATATTTTCTGAAGGTTTGTAACATCTTGTTTAAAGTCTGGTTATTTATCTGAGTTTGCTAGTTTGCTAAGTAGTCTTAACTATTATGAAATTTTAGATGACATAGTCATTTTCTCCTGAAGTTCTTATCTACTTTGCTGACTAATTATAGCCAATAATAGAATTGGGAAAAGCATTAATCCTTTTAAATGAACTTATATTTTTAAAAAGTCAAGAATATTCCAACATCTTTGTTTTTAACATAGTGAAATTTTATGCTAAAATTCCCATTGCTGCAATATATGGTCTTGGACAGTTTTATGATTAGTGCTAGAAGTCATTATTCAGGTTTTTCATCTGGCTTTCCAGTCTCTGTAGACTTAAATAATAACACTTCTCTTCATCTTTTGTGTTATTTTTACCCAAGTCCTCTTCTCATATTTATATATATTCATGCTTGATATAAACCTCACAATTTATATTGATTTCAAAATCACCAGGGAAAGCAAACACACAACTTAAGATGTGCTATAATTAATAAAATCACCTAAAGAATGCAGAAGAATTGGAGACCCGGGAAAGTAGTAATGAGAAAGATAATAAAAGAAGGCACTTTTTCCCTTCAGATATGTAGATGAGGGTAAGGACACTCACAGAAAGGATTTTGTCATCAAGGAGAATTGCAGCTTCCATCAGCATTTACTGGCTTAATGTTTGTTCATTGTGGGTTATTGCCTCTCATTAAGATTTCTAAGATTATATATAACATGTGGTATATTAGCACATCTCTCTGACATTTTACATGTACCTAAAAATGCTGAGAAGAATATATGCCAAAAATATTTTTTAAAATTAATTGCCAGGGGAATTTGTGAATAAGTGAACTTTTATGAGTGTTAGATTAATTTTTTAGAAGTTTATTCCATGCCAGAACAAAGTTCAATTTCTTAAGCATAGTGTACATATATATTGTGGTATGAGAATCTGTTTACTATAAGTCAGGATACTATATGTCAGTCTACCTGTGTCTATCTCTTGCAGTAACCATTTATATACCATGACTTGACTTTTTAGAGGATATGACTTTCTCCTAAGATACAGGTAAAATCAAGTAAAAGGTCAAACAGCTTTGTGGTTTTTTAAAATTTAAGCAAGATGAATACTCAGTAATAATAATAACAATAATAATACTGCTAATAAAAATGATAATATGTTCAATATATTAGTGTTTACACAGTCAGGAACAGGTCTGTGTTTTACACAATCATTATTTTATTTAATTCTCACAAGAACCCTATGAGATAATTACTTATTCACTCAGTTTTATGGAAGGGGAAACTCAGGCCCAGCTTCGAGGTAGCTAGGATGAACAAGAGCTAAGATTGAATTATAAGTCTGACACCAAAGTACATAATCAGTTTGCACACTGCCTTTTAACTTGAGTAACTAATTAAAACAAACCTAATGCTTCAATAGCATAGATAGATAGATAGATAGA